CCAAGAAATTATGGGAGCAAAATGACAATAATAGTAATTTTAAAAAACCCAACTATACAAAACAAAGGTTATCCGGAAATGTGGTAATGGACCCATACCCACATTCTCTAAATTTGAATAAAAATGTTGGAAAGTGGAATGTCCTATACAAGTACAAGAGGCCCTACATGTACCATATTATATCATACTATACTAAAACACCACCCTTTGCACTGTATGGAAACACGCAGCTTTATTTATCAAGAATCTTTGTTTCATTAAATTTTGCAGCTTTGGTTCTTTCCATAGAGGCTATCATACTATCATGAAACGCAGTGACTACAACAGCAACAATACACGTGAGACGGTTATCGAAGTGACCTCCGACACATATCTGACCTTTCCACTCGGTGTCCACCAAGCACAGCGTCTTTTCGAGAGGTCCAAAGGACGTCCTCACAGAGGCAACATCATGGTTCTGGGTCTGGCAGTGGTAGCAGGATGTAACAATCCAGGACAAAGAAAATCAAACACGAACGAGGTTCTCAAGCGTGCGAGCACCAGGCATCAGCACACGAGTGTATCGAGCCTTGGGCCAGGAAATCCATGTTTGCCATGCGGTCGATACCAGCGGAGTCGCCTCGTTCAAGCTGTGACCTCCTTCTTAAAGCCTTTCGTTCTGGGCATCATGCAACTAAAGGGGGGAAATGGCAACGGTTTTGAAATATTTATTATACTAGCGATCGAAAGAAAGTTACCTCCTTTTTTATTGTGTAAAAAAAAAATCAAGTCTTTTGATTCATGAGGCTTTTCCTTTCATGTGAGCAGTGTTAAATTGTCTCAAGATCAGTAAGTCTTGTGATAAAATGTAATTTTTAATGCCTCAATTAGTGCTCTCAGCACCAGCATCTAAGTATACAAAGTTGACATTTTTGTCCCCACTTCGAGGCGCGTTTTTAATCTTTGTTAATTTTTTTTGTTTTGTTTTGGTTTTTTGTTTTGGGTTGGGTTTTTTTAGTTGTTTGTTTGTTGGGTTCTGTCTGTTTGTTTGTTGTTCTTTTTAATTAGGAAATTTAAATCTTTGTTTATCAAAAAAGGCAATTACATTTGATCGTGGTCACCCGAGAAAGTTGGTAGGTTTAACTCAACATCAGAATCAGAGAAATCGAGTCATCGGCATAATATGCTCCTCGCATTTTTGTTGTTGCCAGGGCATCTACGGTCAGTTTTTAGTTGATGTTGAATGTCGTGGCCACAGCAGAAACGTTATCACAATTTAGTTCCCAACAAGTTATTATTTTCGGGATATTCTGTGTTCTATTACAATGATAAAACAATTATCATGTATGTTTCAATTTATGTACGCTTTCCATCTTAGCCTAGCCTTAATCTAACAACAGGATCAATAACTGTGCAATTTTGTATTCTTTATTTCAAACGACTTTTATTTTACACAAGAAGTTGGAATCGTCGTCTCCTATTCCACGAATTTAACATTATGCAGCCTTACTAAACACGCGAAAAGTTTGGTTGTTTATTCGTGTTTAGTCACCTTCCTGTAGCAAACCCCACAAGAATGTGACATTTTCAAGGAAACCCATGTAACGATGACATACACATTCTTTCCACAGTGTTACAAAAGTCAGTTTAACCCTATCCGTACGCCCTGGGGTCATTTTGTACCCCCGGGGTTGTATTCTTTACGTTTCAGAATACTTCTAGAACGAAGATCTCTTAGAAACTTTCAGGGGGGTTTTTTTAAAATCATTTTTACAGGCTGCTATGCAAAGCGTACGGATTGGATTAAAGAGTAAATTTCCTCTTTGGAAAGTGGGGGCACAGAGTTCCCCACGTCGTATGGATACGATAGTAAAACACGACCTACCGATAGGGTTAAAAGACTGCTATAGACTGTTCATCTTAAGAATCAAACGGCTTTTTGGTAATAACTTTATATAGAATTCACCAATCTTTTTTAAATTTCAACACGGCACGTAATGAGTGCGTTTGTCTTAATTTGTGAGAAAACGAATGGTTCCCGACCGTACGTGACCAATGATATCTCTTTATCTAAAGTATGAAGTGCCTTCTAAAATGCAGAATTCATTATCCAATGGACAAGACTTGAAATAAAGATTCCAAGTTAGAAAGTAGGACTACACTGTAAGTATGCTAGATGATTAGATCTATGTTCAGTCTCGCGGGTAAGACATAAAAAGGCACATCGCCTCGTGATGCTTGAAATGTTTGGGATTTTTTAAATGTTACTCCAAAAGATAATTAATGTAGTTTACCGGTATCTTAAACGATGTTTCCCATTGAGATATCGGGTCTCGTCGAGGCGGTTTGGTAGCCAGATATTACTCTTTATAATAGTAGTAGTAGTAGTAGTAGTAGTAGTAGTAGTAGTAGTAGTAGTAGTAGTAGTAGTAGTAGTAGTAGCA